AAAAAAAAAAAAAAAAAAAAAAAAACAAACAAAATTTGAATATTGACAGTTTTGATTTTTCCAGATTATCTGATGTTATAAAGTAAATGAGATGGCATCACGATGGCTGTGAAGTTTATTTTGTATGAGTATAAAGCTGACATTGGCTATTGAACTGGAATAATTTGTGTCCGCTTTCTTCTCATTCGCTAAGAACATACCCTGATCATCAGAGAAGAGCATCGCAATAGTTTGAAAAGATTCGGAATATCTACTTCATATATATATATTTAGTTAGTGAATGAATCTTTTTGCAAAAAATTTTGGGCAAGCTTTCTGGCAGCGTTCGCATAGTTTTGGAGTATTCATTACATTCAAGTCTTTATGCTTAAGGTTTCCCATGAAAAGACAACCATAGACTTCATCATAAATAATATAGTAAAATGGATGGTCGGCATAGAATCTTTTTGGCTCCGGCCCTAAGGGCATAGATAACATACATATCGACATTGCAGTCGCAGCTGCAGCTTCGGTGCCCTCTTCGTTGACCTCAATGAATGCCTTATGCAAAATCTGGGATACTCTCAGGGGCTGTTTCATTTCGAGCAGTTTGTCAAATTCTGGGTTCTTAAATATTATATCCACACCCAGGGATCTGAAGACAGGTGATAATTCAACACTGAACTCTGTTTTAAATTTTGGCAGCTTGACAGATACTTCCAGTAGTTGCAATTGGGATGTTATACTCTTCAGGGTTGTTGACTTCAATTTCTTCTCTAGATCCACTAATCCATCTATTTTGTTGGGCAGTATGATCAACATGTACAGCTTTGTATCCTTATAGGCCATCCGTAATGCTGTGGCATCTAAGTTTGAGAGATCCGCATAGAAGTAATTGTCGAACGCGTTCATCATGGAAACTTTAACCTTATTTTTGTCATCTATAAAGAAATCTTCGCTCTGCGTTTGCTGCTCATCAAATTTAATATCCCATTCGCCCTTGAAGTAGATCGCATTGATCATCACAAGACGAGTATCTGAGCTAAAAGAGTCTGGGCTAACGAGGTCCTTTATAAGATTATTCGTCTCGGATTCTACCCAGGCATTGATAGCGGCAGCCGATTTCTGGCCATTTTTGAAATCGATGTACTCGGGCGTTGAAAAAAAGTTTTGCAACAACGCATCGCAGAATCCCTTACGTAAGTGAATACTGTTCATAACGTACACTCTATTGGCCATGCGCAACACACTGTACTTCTGGTAATACTGGAGAGCACTACGAAAGCCGTCAGCTATCTGATTGACATTGCTCGAGCTGAACTTCAGTCCGGCGTCCAGCTGGCGGCTGGTTTCGCTATCATCTTTGGCGCCCATGCGCAACATTCCAGCGCAGATTTGTATCGAAAGTGGGGAGCATATTAGATCTGTATCGACTGACAGTATAAATAGCTTATGGTAAAAGTCTCGAGAGAATGTGTCTAGTGAATTGGCAAATTGTTTCTGATCATTTTTGTTCAACATGCTGACATCAAAATTAATATTAAATCAAACCCAAATAATATTTTTACGTGATGAAATTGTTTTTATGTCAGAAGTACAAAGTAAGTGCGATGGAAATTTAAAACAGATAGAGTGGGAGAAAGAGTGAGAGTAAGAGAACGAGAGATAGACAGTGGGGTGGAGAGAGAGATTTCAGATTGATATCAAATGATTGTAAATATTATTATTGATTTCATATATAACAAACTTTCTAAGTAAACTCCCCCAATTTATGCTGTGTCAATTAATATACCCACATCATGCACTGTCAATTAAATTGATCTGTTTTTAAGCTCTTCCATAAAGCCAATTCCAGTGAATTTCAATGAATTATTGTTTGTCTATATGCAAATTTGGTTATATCAAATTTCGTTATCATACAACGGAAAATTCTCCGGGGTGTGTCCAAAGCTCAAGCACCTCACTCGTCAGGCGGGCAAGCAGTTGCAGAAATGCTGTAATATATGACTTTTAGAATACCATTACGATTCATTGAGCTGTTGCATATTTAATTCGTGTTTACGTTAGTTACACTTTGTAGCTTTATTTTTCCACTGGTCGATAGAAAAAAGTAGAAAAAAAAAAAAACGTCACTAACGTTCGGCCAGACGATGAATGTGAATCAATGACAGGCAGACGACAACAGCAATAACAACAACAACAACAACAGCAACAACAACTAGTAAAATGAGAAAGAACAACTCATTGGCAACGATGCTAATGTGTTTGTTATTGTTTATCGCTATAATTTTGTTTTTTTTTTTTTTTTTTTTCTGTTGGCTATTGTCGTGCTGGCGAGTTAACGAGCTAATGGAAAAGTTTATACTAGAACCTATAAAGATGGGGCATACACCAGCACTCACTCCTCCCAATCGTGCCCGAGCCTGATGTGTAATATTGTTCGTTGTAAGTTTCCATGTTTCGAGTTTGAATTACAATTTTTTGCTCAGCTAGACGTGCACATTAAATTAATGCAACAGTGGAGATCAACGATCTTAAGCCGTATGTATAATATTGATCATTATATGAAGTCAAACTGCTGAGGCGTATGTATAATATACATCATTATAAAGAGTCAAAGTTCCCAACCGTATGTATAATATACATCATTATGAAGAGTCAAAGTTCCGAGGCGTATGTATAATATACATCATTGTAAGAAGTCAAAGGGGTTAAGTTTAACACTTTTTCTAGTGCAAGCATATGTTCGAATCTAGTAGTAATATCGTATGATTACAGCAATAACTGTAAAGATCATTGACAGATATTGCCCGGGCACATATTTATCTCTCTTCTACAGCAAAAAAACGAGCTACGTATGCGAAAAATGAAGAGTATTAGAAAAAATCAATTAATTGATTGTTTGATTGGATTCTAGGGCATTTGTGAGTCAATCATTTGCTAGCAGGCAAATCTTTTTGTTGCGATTCGTTCAACGATGACAAAGTTACTAAGCCCAGATAAAAAGTTGTGCCAATATTTGTCTTTTTGCCATCGCCTTTGATAAAGCCGCATTTTATTCAATTATAGCCGGATAAAAAGAGCGTATCACATAAATATATACTTAAATATAAGCTCGCATTCATACCCATTCACTGCACAAACTTTTGCCGGACAGTGTGAGTAGCTGGAGTAAATTCAATTGGATTTATGTTAATGATATTGGGACTTGAGCTTTTAGTTCATTCTGATTGACTATCGTTCGGCTTGATAATCGTTATTTTCTTTATCAGGCTTAAGCAAAAAACCACAGCGCAATCTTATCAACACTCGAGACACTGATGTAACCCAGCTGAGTGCCTTAATGAGCGTATATAGCTATATAGGTGTATGTATATTTGGGCATTCGTCATGCTGTCTGACACACGTCTGCCTTGTGCCTGGGAGGTGTGGCCGCCTGTCAATCTGTCAATTAGCAGCGGCTTAGACTATAAGCCATAGAAACATGTTTATTTGGCACCGGAAAGGGCAACGTGCAGAATGAATTAGCGTTCGACTGAGGAAATGCGCCGTGCACAGACCTTGCGTGGCCCATAACCAATTATGAATTGGCTTATCACATGATATGCGCAGTTCCGAATGCAGTTTTGCAATGGAGTACTCGTGTTATAATCCTCTAATGCCTTAAGCTAAGACGGTCAGCAATTCTCGATGCAATTACAGTCTCAGCTGAGCCATTTATAAATCTTTAGAAGGATTAATGGTATATATAAGCAGTTCTCGATTATTGACGCAGTCTAGAATAAAATACGTAGTAAATTGACGGCATGAAATAATTGCGCTAGCTGAGCAGCGAGTCTTGAAAATGTTTGGATTGATTTTAATTGTTTGTTGTTTTATTTTATTTTATTTATTTATTTTTTGTATTTTAATAAATTCTGTAGATTTTATTTTTATATATATTATTTCGTTTTATTTAATTTTATTTTAATTTTTATTTATTTATTTAAATTAAATTTTATAAATTTTTTCTTTAGTGATTTGTTGTTGTTGGTAAACACATTACATAAAAAACCAGAAAAAAAATTTATATAAATTTTATTTAATCAATAAATATGCATTCGTTGATTCTATCATGCGCCTAAAATTTCATCAACTTTACACACACGACAATCGAATTTCAATCACAGCAAATGCAAATCACGTGTACAAATGTAATTCCATAGAATACTTAAAAGAATCAACAACATTTTCGGTGATTAAAGGCCAACTCCAAGAGCTTAAACGTGGCTCAACGCAGCGCTGATCGTATCACAATCGACGGCCAGGTGATTCCCAGGCCAGAAAGTCAAATCATCGTGAGCGTTGCCATAATTGCGGCAAGCTCAAGGACACGGCACGTAACACGACTGACTGTAGTCAGGTCTTTTGGGCATATAGTATGTGAACATATATGTGCAAGAGTAAATTAATGGCCGTTGTCTGCCCATTTTTAGGCTGTGGTAGGGCAGCACGGCCATTGTGTGGCACAATATTGAGAGGTAAAAGCAGCGAACAAAAAAGAAAAAACGATATAAGGAATTTCACGCCCATTTTCGGGGCATATTATTGTCAGCCACAAATATGGGTTAAATATCATTTATATCAAATTTATTTATGGGCTCATGAGTCTTAAGTGCCTCAATTTGTACGATAGCGGGACAGGCGATCGATACGACGCTGTCAGCCAGTCCAAAAGTGAGTGCAAAACTTTATATTTAAATATCAGGCTGCACTCCACTTATGAACGTCAAAAGTGACGTCACGTTTTTACACGCTGAGCGAGAGAGAGAGAGAGAGAAAGAGCGCGAGAGAGAGTGAGCGGAAAATATATGTATGTATATGCGTATATGCATTTATATATATGCTTAAAAAAGAGCAAAAAAATCAAAACCGGCTTTAGACGTTGACAGTTGAATTTTGTTGCTGTTGTTGTTGTTGTTGGTGTTGCAGATGTTTGCCTTGCGTGAGCCATAGTTTTTGTATTCTTTGTGCTGGGATTCACAGGCTGAGCCGTTGTTCGCAACAGGTTCATATTGGCCCCGTCCATCTAGAGCGGCTCGTTAAGCGTATCACGTGCTGAGCAAAGCCCAACCAAAATAAAGCCGAGCCTCTTTAACCAAATTTCGATTGCTCATGCAGACGCAGATGGCGACTTTGTTTTCTTTCAGTTTTTTTCTCGCTATAATTTGTGGCTGAAGCTTTGTGAACCCCGCGTATGCGGCGTATGCGCAATCTAAGACTGGGCGCACTGGTGGGGTGGGGTGGGGTGAGGTTCCCCACCTGATTGGCTTACTCACGCTACATGTTTATACCCTGAACCCATTGAAAATGGGAAATCAGGGTATAATGGTTTTG